GTAAACTTTTAATTCTTACTAAATACCATAAATTATGCTTATATGTAAAGTTGTAGCTTATATTTAGAGCTACAATTTAGTATAAGATTATTATCATTAATAATAATTATTCAGAGAGTTATATAGCATTTACAATCAAATTTAATAAATATAAAAATAAAAATACTTAGTTATCACTATGTAAACTTTTAATTCTTACTAAATATCATAAATTATAAAGTTGTAGCTTATATTTAGAGCTACAAATCGATATATGATACTATATGCTGATCTTTAATCGAACTTGAACCAGACTTGAACTCGTATAACAATTCAGTTCGAGTTCAGTTCGAACTTCGAACCTTTCTTGAACTCAAGCCAAAGTCCAGTTCAAGTTTAGTTCGAATTTCGAACTGAACTCGAACCCAGGTAAAAGTTCAGTTCAGTTCGGTTCATAGGAACACTAATGATAGCTTAAAAACTTAATCTCTTAAAATTTTCTTTTCCAATAAATTTTAATTAAAATAACAAAATATTATAATTTTTATTTTTATTTTATACACACATTATATTTCTTATTATTCAAAAATAAACTATAATTATTTTTATTATACTATTTTTTATCTATATATTATTATTATTCAAAAGTGAATAATAGAATAATACTATTTATATTATTATTACTCCTTATTTATTATTTATTTATTTATAGATAATGAGAAAATTTAATTGTTAATCAATTAAATTATTATCAACTTCTTTTTTTAATCATATTTTTTTATATAAAAGAACACTTATTTTACCTTTTATTTTCTTTAATTTATTTTATTTTTATTAAACTTTGAATAATTACTCTTTTTTTATTATTATCCTTCTTGAATACGTAAATTTTTTATATATAAAAATTGTTGTTATGATTGATTCTCTAACTTAATTTACTGAGTTATTGGTTCAACATTATTTGAATTTTGTAATAAATATTCTCTATTATATTCATAATTTAATTTTTTTTTATTTTCAATTTCATCTTAATGGAAGAGGTCAAAATGCTATATATATTGGTAACTTATTAAATATCTTACATATTATTACAGTCTTATCAAAAGATCTTTGTTATAATGCCTATATATAAGATAAGATCCTATTATAATTATTCATTTTTTAAATTATTATTCTTAATTCAATAATGATTGTTATAACTAATTAAGACTATATAGCTGAGTAGCAAAATCTTCCAGTATCTTATAATAAGCATTAAGAACTAAAAGAGTAATAATTCTTATTTATATTTTTTTAATAGAGCTTAGAAGTTATGTAAAGAAATATATTATAGTATATTTTATCTTTTATATTTTATTGAACAATTAATTAATTTATTTTTATTGAAAACTTCATATAATATATCTTATTGAACTATATTTATCTATATTCTTATTAGTTATTTATTATTTATTTGTATATTACACATTAATATGATAAATATATTAAACTTTTAATATTTTGAACTATTAATTTTTAAAGATATTGAACTATTGATAGTTTGAACTATCAATCTTTAGAATTATGGAATTTTTATTAGTTTAGTATTACAGATATTTAAAAATTTTTATTACAATTAATTTATATATAAGTAATATTTCACTTGATAGCAAAAAAGATAGCTTAATAAGCTTAACAAATTCTTAATAACAAATTCACTTATTAAATACCTTATAATTACTTTTTGATTTTAATATAGTTTTGATTATAAACTTGTAATAGTCTAGTAATATTATTATTCTTGTATTATATACTTGTATAGTCTATGTGCAGAGTGCTGACTGAGGCAACAATAATAAAAAGTATAGTAATAAAAAAGCTTTGTTAATAAAAATTATCTTAAATCTATCATAATTATAATTCATTATCTCCTCTTATAACTGTAAAAAGAGACTCATTAAAGATCTTTCACTATACAAATACTATTAAAAGAACTGGAATAACAGTCATGATGAAAAATGCATAATTTGATTTAAATGATGTTACAAGTATAATAATACTTCTGTTGAATTTTAAAATTTATGCACAATATACATTCATAGATAATTCTGCATTAAAAAAAGTAAATAAATTGTTGATACAAAAAATACTCTAATATACTATAATTCTTGGATCCATTTAAAAAAATCATTCTACTCCTTTTTCAATATTCTCAAAATTCCACTAAGCTATATTTCTAAGCCTTCTATACGATCTTCTAATTTATTAAGCTTGTTTCTTCTTGGATTTTTTTTCTTAGTTTTTTCAGTTCTTCACTGGAATAGAATAGTATACGTATCTAATTGGCGAAATGCATCAGGATAACTTATCGTTATTACAAGAAGTGCACGCATTTGTACGACCCGCTCTTTCCTTGAAGCTGTTTCATCGAGTGCTTTTCTAAAATAGATTATATTAATTAAAATTAATTCAATAAAATTGTAATCTTAAGCAAATATAAAATTACCCCCATTAAACTGATCAGAAGATTTTGCATAAGAGTAGCCTGCCAAGTACCGTGACTAAATCAACTGGCCAAAAATTCCATTTTTCGATCTAATCCCAGTGTTCACTGATCTAAAAGTACACTGCTTCGATTAATCTATCCAAATTATAATAGTAATTATCTGATCTATCCGTCCAATCTAAAGCTTGTGTCATATTAAAATTTGATTTTCAATTAGAAAATACACCAATTTTAGTGTGAAAAATAGGAAGAACGCTAAAAGAAAGGAACAATCAATTACTTGCATAGAGATTGCGAATCCTGCAACAATAAATATCTGCGAAAAAAATGAACCCGAATACGTTTACGACAATATTGATAATAATAAAGATAGACTTTCCAATCCCTATATATTTACTCAGATGAAATAGCTTAGAATTAAGAACTTACATGGCAAAAATCGCATTTAGTAGAATTAAAAATAATAGCAATTAATATTAAGAATTGATCGTAATTCATTGAATTAGTACTTACAAAAACGATACATAATAATAACCCGGCAAATGAATAAAAAATAATCTCAGCTTGACATCGCTCATTATGCAGTTGGCGATAAAGAGATTCTTTTCTGTATTTCTTGTACAGTCAGCACGGAAAGTAATGGCGGTGCTGAATTTTTCGTCAGGCAGTACCTACCAGAAAGCTATTGACCATGCGTAACATGTGCAAAATTTTTCACATGTTGCACATCGTTCTTTAACCGAAACGATTGCTATTATCTTTAAAAATGTCTGACAACCCGTAAAGGGATTTTGGCGAAATGGCTGGCGTAATGCTAGAGAAATTTCGCAAAAAACTGGTATTCCACTTCGCTCTTTGAACGCTACTGGGTTCGCTTCGTAAAAATGGACAAATTCCAGATATTCATCGTCCATATAAAATTTCGCCTGCTATGCGTCTCCTCATCGATCAAATCGTAAATTCAAATCATTTCCTTATGGCGGCTCGAAAAAACACACCCAGGCAGGATTCGAAGTAGGTGTGCAAACTGTCTATGATGAACTTTCTAGACTCGATTATGTTGCTTCTTTGCCAAGACACATTCCTCTTCTCAGTATGCCGGATCACGTTTTTAATCAACCAATAAAATTATTTAATCACGTGTAATTCTGTTTCAATTTTCTGGATGTAACTTTTTGTAATCGACCAATTAAATAACGATATTATAATCACGTGTAACGAAATACGATTTCATTATGATAACTCGGGCTGGCACTATGATAATTTAGTGCCGGCCTGAATTATAATAAATGCCAACCAATAAAATCATATAAAAAGTGACCAAGTTTAAACGCTTATAACTTATTATCTAGGATTTTTTTGAAATTTGACCGGTAGTTTAATAGAACTTAAAGAATAAAGTCACTGTTTAATTTTTCTAAATTCTGTTTTTGTAAAGCGTTAAAACTATATCATTGTAGAGTTTAGACTAAGCACCCTAGCAAGTACCCTAGTCATGGCGAAAAAAAGTTACGGGTCACGTGTCGCCAATAAGAATGCGTGAATTTTGATCTACTAGTGACACAAACCAATAACGATAAAAATGCATAAATTTTTGATCAGCCCGGCAAAACAAATCCGACACAAGAACAAAAAATGTAATAAATACGAGAAATATCGGGAAGGCAATTTTATATACATGTATAACTTTGATCACAGATCTAACCTTAACCCTAACCTCTAAATTAACCTTTATAATAATCTCTATTACCTTAGAATTTTTCCGGACATACCGGATATCACATGACCCGTAACTTTTTTCGCCATGGCTAGGGTATCCATTTAGACTACCACTATGTGCAGTCTAATTTTTCCATTTATGTATTATGACATCATATTAATGTTAAATTGCATATTAACAGATACATCTACATATTAATATTAACATCTATCGCTATCATTAATATACTTTTAAAGAGATGTTGATTAAAAGAATTACGAATCAGTAATTAATTAAGTTCTAAATATCTATATACTTTTAGAAAAATTGTTCTTCAAAATTGACATCACCAGCATCGCGAACAAATAATCCTCACAACGAAAAATTCTGCACCTCACACTCACTACTACTCCTTTTTGTCTTTTTAATGGCGAGTGCACACAAGAAACACAGGAACCCGAACGGGATCAAAACATGGAATGCATCCTGCAGTGATCGCACGTAAGCGTCTATTACAATGTGCTGTTGTGCATCTGAAAGATGATGCATAAACATTGCAGAATTTTTTAGGTCGTCTACGGGCACATTTAAGCCAAGAGTTAGAACGTTTTTTGAGAGCGCGTTCTTGAATATTGTGCCGACTATAGAGATTCCAAATACAGCGCCGACTATTTAGAAAGAAAAATGAGCAAAATTGAGATCATTTTCTAACGTCTAATTTCGAACATGACGGATTTCGGGACACTCACTTGATCTAAAGAAAATCATAATTGAGATAACAAACGAGACGTCTACTTCTTCAACAGCCAACACCGAACAAATAAACACAGTTTGCATGATCAATCCAACACCAAACCCACTAATGATCAGATAACAAATCTGTGCAACACGGTTAGAATTTGCGTTCAACAAACTGGTTAGAATAGCACCAACGACAACCAACAGTCCACCAACAACACACAAATGTTTTCCGGTAATCTTTTCGGTACGCGAGACGATTTGACAAGAAATGATAGAGCCAAGAGCAACAGCGAGAATATACGGCATTAATTCAAAACCTGACGAACTTGCACTTTTTCCTTTTACCACCTGAAAATAGAGCGGCATGTAATAAATGTTTGCGAAAAACGCCATACCCTGGAAAAAATTTACACCAAAACATGCGAGCAATGATCTATTTTTGAATAGATGGATTGGGGAAATTGGTTCGATTGAGACAAATGCTTCTACTACTAAGAAAAGTATTAGCAGTAGTACACCGCCTGCAAGGAGGCCAATAATTATTGGGTCTTTCCAAGCGTATTTGTCACCTCCCCAACTCAATGCCAACAATAGTGCAATTGTACCAAGTATTAGCAAAATTGAACCACACCAATCAATTCTTTTTATTTTGTCCATTAATGAACCTTGTCGTGGTGGAAGATGAAGCATAAATGTTATTATTGCAACGGTTATTGCCCCTAATGGCAAATTAACATAAAAACACCATCTAAAATGTAATTGAGACGAATTAGATCAACGAAGAATAAATTTCTAACGTTAAGATTTGACATATTACCTCCACGTGACATGTTCAGTGAATGTACCACCAACCACAGGACCAGCAAGCGAAGCCATTCCATAAACAGCCCCAAAAATCCCTTGGTATTTTGCGCGATCTTTAAGAGGAACAATATCTCCTATTATAATCATCACCAGACTCACAATTCCACCACCACCAACACCTTGAACACCTCGAAATATTATTAACGTTATTATGTTTGGTGCCGCTGCCGATAATAAACTTCCAAATTCGAATACACATATTGCAAAAATAAATGTCGATCTCCTGCCAAATATATCTGAAATTTTGCCGTAAGCTGGTTGAAAGGCTGTCTACCGTACATAGAATATGATCAATTGAAATTTTCGAAAATAATCGATTTTTGATATTCAGTTTTATCGAATCATAATGTTATTTTACCTTTGTTAGTAAATATGAAATAGCAACCCATGAGATTTGATTAAATGCGCTATAATCAGATGCAATTTGTGGTAATGCAGTCGCCACGATAGTTCGATCGAGCGCAGCTAAGAAAAGAACAATAACAAGTCTACAGCATTTTATTTATAAACAAAAAAACCAAGTTTAGCAAGAATTATAATCAGGAAAATCTTTTCTGATTTACTCACCCTATTAATAAAATCGCTAATCGAAATCCACTGACGTATGCTTTTTGACTATTTGTACTTGATGTCGTATTAACTAACTCCATATCTATAACCGCATCCTCCTTCTTCTTCTTCTCTCTCATTATCTCTATAGATCGTCCGACAATCGACATTCGTCGTTGTATATCAACGTTAACTTTGTCAGACTTTATTTCGGATACAGCGAAATTTAATTTAGACCCATTGTTATTGCTATTACTATTAGTACTTTTATTATTACTTTTACTTTTATTATTACTCTTACTTTTACTATTATTATTTACAGTGTAGTCTTTATTCTTATTATTACAATTATTGTTGTTGTTTTTATTATTATCATTATCATTATCGTTGTTGATTTGTGACGAGGTAATGACGACGACGATTTGGTTTTCGTTTTCGTTTTCGTTTTGTGGTTCCATTTGTTTTTTACAATCTGATTTACTATGTAAAGAATACTTTTTATCTATGAAATAATTTTATGATTATTCCAAGGCACTTATATATATACGTATTCTTCGTTGATTTATTAGATGATTGATTCTATACTTACTTTACGTAATATATAAAAGTATTTATACATAATGATCGCGCGCCAATAACGATGCTCATCCATATTATGCACATGCATTTATTTTTTGGGGGTTAATTTTGTTTTTCCCCATTTCCATGTATTTACTCATTATTACGCACTTTTGATAAGAAAAAACTTCTGATTATACTACGTATATAACAGGTTAAAAAAATTTGCTGCATATCAATGTTGATATTTTGAAAAAGTGTAAAATGGCGTTTTTCGCTGATTTCTGTTATACTGTATATGATTTTCACGATTCAGGGGACTTGCATTATCGGATCGAATAAATAGGAAGGTTGTAGAAGATTATGGAAATTGCTTGAATATCATGTTTATATTCGGTACTTTTTATTTTTGACCGAATATACATGTATAATGTTAATTGAATTATTTTTTTACTCACAAATACTTGCATATTTGATTATTTATGTTACTGTTTCGACCATTCGTTTCGTTGTTCAGGCCAAAATTACATGTGTATTGATTGTTTGATTTTATAGACGCTAACGCTAATAGTAATATCAATATGCCGATACAGTATTTACCTGAAAATTTTCTTTTTTTTTGTCGGATGATTATCGAATAACTGGAAAAAAAAAGACTCTTGTATCTGTGAAGAGATGTGTTATTGCACATGCAATGTTCATGTATGGGGAGCTCAATAAATAAAGACTACATAAGATGTTCTTCTGTGCTATAAGATAGTTAAATGAGCCTTGCATCCTTTGATTTAATGACAGTGTTGGCCTATGACCTCTCTTATTACTTATATTATGACCCTCTTATGACCTTATAATTTACCAACACTGCTGTACTTTGACTTGAGATATATTGTAAATGTTTGATTTATACTTTATAAATGGACAAAAACAAATTGAAACAAATGATAGACCGATTTGGTTTAGTGTGATTAACATTAAGTTTTAACGCTATTGTAACCTTATAAATGGATGCAAGACTAAACTCCTGATCTATGTTCACCCCAATCCATATTGAGGGAGGTCTGTTAAAGCCGTGTGGTTACACGTGATTTTCAATCCGATCCGGATTGCAACCATGTGACCAAAATCGAATAGCCAATAAAAATACTAGATATATAATATTTCTAATCATAAAGTTTGCAAAATTTAATATTGTTAAAATTGACTTTTCAGACTTCCATTTCATCAAATACTCACCAAAGAACCCACTGGATCCGGTCGCGACGAAACCAACACGGAGAAACCGAACGCCCAAGAACCTTACCCTAACCAACACCGGCGATCTCGGAAAAATGCCAAGAAAAATCAGTCAACTTTTGGGCGCTTATATTTCTTCCAATATCCAACCAATTTTGTGGTCCGAATACAAAGAATGTTCGTCTTGATTAGACGAATCAAACGAACTCGAGTTCGCAAAATTCTGAACAGATCGATGAGATATCGTTGCCCCACGATCCGTCCGTCATTTTGCGATTTTTCATGTGCCGACTTTGGATACCAATATCTCCACCGATTTGTTGATCTAAACGCAAAAATATTCACCATAATTATAGGACTATATATCGCAAAGATATGTTCATATGTTCCAGAGATATGGGCGTTCACGATGCCATACAGATCCGGTGCGAGACCAAACCGGAAACCAGTCGAAGTTTGCGAGGGCACAAACGAAATAAAGAAATGCCAAATACTCATATTCGGTACGAAACCAAACTGGAAACCGGTCGCATAAGTTGTTAGAAGAGTTTGGCCGCCATTTCCGTTGCGCGGTGTTGCGAATTTCTCCAGTTGCGATCAGTTTCCAATTGATTTCATGCCGGTGGTGTTGTGAGTGAGTATTCGGCGCTTCTTTTCGTTGGAGAGGGTCCTGGGGGGATGGCTAAAGCCAAGTACATCACGTGATATGCGACTATATAATTAAAGCTTAATTTTAAGCTTAGGGTCAGGGTCAGAGCTAGAGTTGAGGTCAAGACTATATATAAAATTGGCTCCTCAACATTTTTTGTTAGTATATTTAAGCATCTGTTTTCCGTTATTTTTCATGTTTTTGCTCGCGCTTCGGATTTGTTTTGCCGAGTTGATCAAAAATTTACGCATCCTGATTGGTTCGTGTTTCGGATTGATATCGGATGTACCCGGCTTTATGTATTCCCAAAAGATAACGATGGTGTTATGCAGGATTCAGCCAATCATTGAATGTGTTATAGATATAGGTCATGTGTATTAAGTCAATCCGGATAATTATAAGATTATCCGAGTTGACTTAATCCTTAATTTACTATATACCTTGCTTTAGCATTAGTGTTATATAGTGTTTCCCGTTAATGTCAAGTGATTGACACAAATCAAGGCACACAAAATTTGTTCTAGTATTAAAATTGAAACAAAATAAAAGTGGATTTTTTATAATAAAGATTTTATTATTCTATAAATATTAATCGAAACATTTCAACAAATCTTGCCAAAAAATTATTTAAACTTCTGTAATATAGAATTTTGTAATAATTCTATTGTAGATTTCCGTAAACTTATAGCGATAAATAAACTTTGATTCGATTACATACAGTTTAATAATAATTTAAACAAATAATAGAGCTTTAAAACAATCATTTTCTGATTAAAAAATTTTCGTTTTTGCAATTTTAACAATATTATAAAGTAAACAACATAGAATTTCTAATGTACATTTATTTTGATTTGATAAAAAATCTATAGATTTAACAATTTCATAGAGTAAAAATAAAGCAAAGCATTTTTAACATACACTTATTCTGATATTAACAAAGTAACTTAGTATTATTAATACTGACAATATAATTTATAGTAGTACACTTCTATTTATTGATAGCTAAATAATAAAATATAAATATTTGTTTTCACTATATTTATTGACATAAAAATTTCAATTTTATTTTAGAAATAACAAGAATATATTGTTATAAGTTTGTTCACTAATCATTAAATTAGCTTACAAATAAGAACCTGGGTTGGGAAAAGGTATAAACTGATAAAGAAAATATTAAGAGAGAAGAGGGATATCTAAGACCTATACCAATTTCTACAGAAATTGTGTTTTCTTGAAAAGAAATAATAATATGGGAGAGTTATGGGAGAGTAAAGGTCAAAGGGGAGAGAGAATAAAGGAATAATAAAGGAATTTGAAAGGGTGATTCTATACTTGCATAAAGCTTTTAAGGTAATATGATTAGTAATAACAATAACAAAGACTCTTTCACTTTGTTCTTCTCATGAGTGAGGAATATTCATTAACAATTAAAAATTCAAATAACAAAAAGTAAAATACTTATAAATTCAATTTCAATAATTTCCAATACAGTGATTTGTTCAGCACAATATAATATAAAGCTTGATAATTCAATAATAACAATTTGTTCGGCACAATATGATATAAAGCTCAAAGTCAATAACAGTAATTTGCTCAGCACAATATGATATAAAGCTATCAGCGATTTGATAGGTTCAATATAATATAAGATCACTTATACACAAGATTTGAAGTGTATAAAGAAAATATGAGAGGTGGGAAATATTTGAAAGAAGGTTTTTGTTAAGAGAGATTTTTATTTTCAATTACAACATGTCGAGTTAAGACTCAGACAGCACCTCTATTTATAAATTTTTCAAAAATACAATTTCAAAATTTAGTAACTAATTAAAATAAGTTAATTTGATAAATGAATAAAACAAATAATGAAAAGTAATTAAAAATGATGAATAGTAATCAAAAAATGATGAAAAATAATTAAAAATAATAAAAAGTAATCAGAAAATGATGAAATATAATCAAAAATGATGAAAAGTAATCAAAAATAATGAAAAGTAATCAAAAATAATGAAAAGTAATTAAAAATAATGATGAAATATAATCAAAAATAATGAAAAGTAATCAGAAAATGATGAAAAGTAATTAAAAATGATGAAAAGTAATCAGAAAATGATAAAATATAATCAAAAATGATGAAAAGTAATCAGAAAATGATGAAATGTAATTAAAAATGATGAAATGTAATCAGAAAATGCTAAAAAATAATTAAAAAATAATTAAAAATGATGAAAAGTAATCAGAAAATGATGAAAAGTAATTAGAAAATAATGAAAAGTAATTAAAAATAATGAAAAGTAATCAAAATAATCAGAAAATAATGAAATATAATCAGAAAATAATGAAAAGAAATTGAAAATGATAAGAAGTAATTAAAATAATGAAAAGTAATTAGTTTAGAAGAATTTTGTTATTATATGAATATTTTTGAATATTTTGTATTTTTCAATCATTTTTGAAATTAATGATTTTTATATTACTATTGTAACAGTATCTCTGTATCAAGAAGTTTAATATTAACAAGATGATGTTAAACTCCAATAATGAAAATTTACCTGAAAATAATTCATTGAACTTAATAAACAGTTTTAACAAACTAAAAACTGAGATGATGACTGATATTATGACTGAAGAAATCCAAATTAATAATGTTGATATCACAAGAAATTATATCAAGAAGAAGACAAATGCTGAAAATGCCATGATAACCTTGCAAAATGGATTACTATTCTC